AATTCCAATTTTACAGATGAGGCCACTCAGCAACCAACTTTCTGGAGGTCACAGCAGGGAGTGCTGGGCTCTTCTGCTGTCCCAGGGGCCTGTCTGGCTCCTCCAGGGCTGGGGGGCCCACTTCTGTGTCATCTAAGGCTCCTCCCTCTGGCTCCCTGCAAGGAGGCTGTGCTCCCGTGCTGTCCATCCCAGGAAACCCCGCAGCTCCGCCTCCACCACCAGCCTGGACTTCACCAGGTCCTGAGGGGCTGCCGGTGGGAACTTGGGTGCAGAAAAGGACGCACCTTCTTAAGAAGGGGGTGTCAGGGAGGGGGCGTCACCCATTTCCTCAGACCCCCTAGCAGTGCAGAGGGACGAGGGGAGGCTGGAGACTCGGGAGTTTATCATGGTTGTGATTACCGGAGAACTAGTGGGAGAGAAGTTAATTGGTGTATTTTGTTTTGTTTTTATTTTTATTAGTCCGTGTTCATAGTAACAAGGATCACGTTCCTCCTGGGGAGTTGGTTCACGTAACGTAACAGCTTTATTCTTACCCCTCCGCTCTGTCCCAGTTCCTGCCATCCCTCGGTCCCCTTCCTGAACATTTGCAAAAGGTCTACCTCCCTATTTGCTGTGTCTTTTATTTCCCTCTTTATTTATCCTTTGGGATAAAGAGAAACCATGTCATATTTAGGCTTGTGTCTGAATTCATGTAAGATTATGGTCTCGAGGTGAATTCATTTTCCTACAGATGACTCGAGTTTATCATTGTTCATGGCAGAGCAGTACTCCCAAATGCTACATTTTCTTTTTAACCTTTTGAGGGGGTACCAGGGCTCAAACTCAGGACCTTGCAATTGCGAGGCAGGTGCAGGGCCACTGAGCTAAATCCTCAGAGATACCACACTATCTTTATCCATTCATCTATTGATGGACACATAGCCTGCTTCCAAGATTTAGTTGTGAATTGTGCTGCTATGAACATGGGTATGAAGTCTCTCCAGCGTTTATTATTACTTGATTTTTTTGATGACAGCCATTCCTTCTGGAGCAACATGTTTAATTGGTGTAGAAGATTAAACCATTACTAGCACAGGGTTGACGGCCAGCACATAGTGGGCTCCTGATGTTTGTTGCAGGACTGAGTTTGCAGACCTTGCTTGGAGCCTCCTAGAGCCTAGCTCTGGAGAGTTGTCCCAGTGGATGCGATTTGTTCATCCTTCAGCTGTTTCTAAGCCCAGCTCGGACCCAGTGCACACCGGCCACATCAGGGGCCAATGCGAGCTTTAGCTGGGATGTCCTCACCTGGCAGCCACCTGCTCCCACCCTGCTCTCCAGCCGAGTGACCTCACCTTCCTGCCTCACCACTGCTGACCATCTTCCTTCTAGCGTCTTCTCATGTGGGCACAAAACTCCTGGCTGCAGTGTCAGCACTCCAGGGAGCCAACATCAGTGGGACCTTGGCCAACACGTGGGGTCTGGGGGCTTCTCCTGGGGTCTGAATGAGGCCTTACTGTATCAGGAGTTGGGTGCCCTTGGGCATGGCATCTTTGACTCTGCAAACACTGGGTGCCAGCCTCCTGCCGCACCTCGACTGGAGCTGAGGCTTTCCCTGGACAGGAAGGGGCCCACCCCAGATCTCACAGCTGGGGAGACCAATTGTGACTCCTTTTCCCTCCTGCTCACAGCTAAATGCCAATGTGAAGACAGGCAGGACTGTGGGCAAGTTTGGAGTGCAAGGAGGCACTGCACCCAGCTCAGCTGTGGGCACCAGCACGTGGGAGGCCTGAGGCCAGCTGCAAGGTCTCAGGGCAGCATGGCTGCCAGGACTCAGGCTCTGCCCTGAGTAGCTCATGTCATCCAGGCAGGGTCCCCAACCTGAGCAACATCCGCATCTTCAGGCACCGTGTGGGTGCAGTGAGGGAGGCCTGGAGACACAGAGCCCAGTTCCCAGCAGAGGCCAGGCCAGTCCGGGCTCCTGTTATCACTGGCTGGCAGCCTGCAGTTATGGGAGGATGTGGGATTAATGTGACATCTGTGACCACTAGGAACTGCACCTTAAAAAAGCCATGGAGTGTGCCCTTGGGCCCTTGACAGGAGACTCAGCCCAGGGAGGCCCCTGGCCTGGAGCCCAGCTTTGGCACAGGGCTGGGTGTGCAGTACGAAGCGAAGGGCTCCCTGCGGGTCTGCTGTCTTCCACAGGTGCCCTGCCCACGGCCTCCAAGCTGAAGGGCTGGGCCAAGCTGGCACTGAGCAGGGTCCCCAGCCTCAGGTCCATAGTTGGCTCAGTGTCCTGGGATGGGGGCACAGCAGGAGGGATGCAAGCTCCCAGCTTTGGAAGCTGCACTGGGTACCCCCAGGACAGTCCCTTGGACTCTGCAACCAGCAGCGATGGGCATGCTGGGCTGGGCCAGAGTTGGACGGACTGGGCCTGGGAGCTCGCAGGGGGGCGGACCCCACCCAGGATTCAGGCTCCAGGTCCCTGGGGTGAAGGGAAGGGGGTCAAGTGTCCCCTTGCAAGCACAAGGGCCCAGGGCTCCTGGCCACGGCCTGCTCTGAGGACCAACATGGAAGGCACCCTCTGCTTGGACGTGTGGCCTCCCCCCCAGCCTGGAAGGGAGCATGGTCCCCATCTGTGGCAGGACCTGTGAGAGTGGCAGGGTAGACTGAGAGCTGACAGCTGCACTACCTTCCTCCCCACAGGCATGGTGGCTCCAGCCCAGCGCCACTGGGAGCCGGGAGCACAGAGGTGCCCTGTGCCCTCCCTCCAGGAGGGCAGGCCTGAGCCGGTCCTGTGATGGTCACACACTGTGCCAGCAGCACCCTGCCAGCGCCTGGCGGTGTGTGACCTCTGTGGGCTCCATGGAAACCAAAGGCACTGACCCAGCCTGAAGGACTGGGCTGCCATGAGGAAGGAGGAAGGGAGGGGCAGCCGCAAGGTAGAGATTTTCTCCGGAGTTACAGGATGCCTGTGGCAACTTCCTCTTTGGATTTCCAGCCTGTTGTTTCCTGTCAGGGACCGGCAAGCCACGGGGAACACGGGGTCCTCTCAGCCTGGGGATGCAGCCCCGTCTCGTTGGCCTTTGCTCCCTAGTGACTCTGAGGATGGCTATTTCACCAACCCTGTGACAAAGGTCCTTTCATGGCCCCCACTCACACCCGGGAACCCGGTACTGGACTCTGGAAGTGACCCCGTCATTGGGTAGGAAGCATGTCACCCACCGGGACAAGGAAAAGGCCACCTGGCGGAAGCAGGGTCCGCACTGCCTGTACTGTCAGGGTCTGCGGGATTCCGGCAAGCACTTTCGGAGCCTCTGCAAAGGGGGCAGCTGAACTGGGAGTGGGACCTGCAAACCCCAACATTCAGGGGGCTGAGGATCACAATTTCAAGCCCAGCCTGGGCAACTTAGCAAGACCCTGTCTCAAAAAAAAGGGCTGAGGAGTAGCTCAGCATGAAGGCCCTGAGTTCAAGCCCTGTACAGCAGAAAGTAGGGCAGCAGTCACCATCACAGCGGGTGGACAGAGCCTGCCCCGTGGCGAGTCTGGCAGGTGCCGGCTAGTACTACTGGCACTGCCCAACATTAGGAGGTGGCATCATTATCAGTCACTGCTCTTCTGAGCATGGGAGGGGTCCCCGAAAACACTACCAACCGTGCCGTGGCGTAAGGCAGCAGCAGGCTGAGGCAACAGTGGCTTCCTGCCTCAGAGTCTGCCTGCAACAGTGCCAACCTGCGGCCACTGCTGGCCCCTTCCGTTCCTGGACATCTGTGCAGATGCAGCTGGGCCCTGGGCATGGCCCGGCCACTTAACAGGTGCCTGGAACCTGCAGGGCCGGCACCTGTAGGGGGATGCAGCAGCATTGGCCCAAGCTCCGTGGGTGACAGAGGCCTTTCCACCCCTCTGCCTGTTCTACGGAATCCTCAGCTGCGATGTCAGAACTGCTGGGGCAGGACCAGGCCTGAGCCCTGGCTGAGCTGCCTCCTGGTACGGGCACCAGGAAACCACACGGATGGCGCGGCGTGCCGATGGTCAGGGCAGAAGGCCGATCCCAGGGGAGGCGCCAGACCTCAGGCGCCTTCTGTGGGACAGGTCCCACCATGAGGGGGCTGGCCTGGTATGGCTACAATGGCAGGTGTCTCCAGAGCAGGCTCTGTGTCCCTCAACACCACGTAGGGCACTCCTCCACCTGGGAGGAAGCTGCAGCCCCAGCCCAGGGAGTTGGACGTCAGAGCAGACGAACCTCGGCATGCCGCCTGCTGACGGGCAGGGAATGTCTCCCACCCGAGAGGGCTCCCTAGGTGTGAACTCCTTTTCCCTGCAAGATCCCAAAGCAAACCAGCCGGTGACTGGGGCGCCAGCGGTCTGCCACTTCATGTTCACAGGTGGCAGAGGACGACTTGATACAAAATGCTGTCGGGGTGACTGAGCACTGTTGGGGAAAACAGACCAAATCTGAAGCCTCATCCCTTGTGCCTCAAAAATGAGCTCTGCATGAAGTACACAGGTGCTAGCACGACGTGGGAGAGCGGTTTTGTACTCTTAAAAGGGAGAAGGCACTAAGAATGTCCCCGAAAGCCCCAGAAACCATGAGGACAGAATGTAAACCTGTCTGTGGAACCCCTTCTCCGCCCCCAGATGAAAGACACACACTAATGTGAGGAGAGCTGAATGCTGAGAAGAGGACCCTTGGGCCCACACAGGGCTTCCCGCCTCACGGCTCATGCTGGTGTCACAGGAGGGCACGCGATCAGATGCTGGGTAGCACCAAGGGTTCCCACATGTCACCCGGGCACCCTGTGGTCTCCGAGGGAAGAGGAGCTTCTGCAGCTCTCCGGTGATCTTCCTGCGCTCACAGTGCACAGGGACGGCGGCCTGCAGTGACCTTCTCTACGACCCGCTCACAGCCACGCTCAGACCCTGGACGGGGAGGACGTCGGGGCGGGAACTCCCGGCTCAGGCCGACGAAGGACAGATGAGGTTTCCTTTCCCCTTACTCTTCTTTAAACATATCCGACTTCTCTTAAAATGAACGTAAGTCACGTTAACACATGGAAGGCTTTTTCAGAACCAAATGAGGAAGAGGAAGCTCGGTGGCAGCAGAGGGCCCGGTGCAGTTCGCGGCCTCCTCGGCGCCCGCCGTGGGCTGAGCTCAGCTCCAGCCTCCTCCTCCTGGTGTACAGCCAGGGTTCCTCGTAATGGTCTTGGCTATGAGAAACAAACACAGGCACCTTTTTTTTTTTTAATTTTTATTTGGTGTTAACTCCACAAGAAAACAAAAAATCAGTTATTCTGGTGTACGTGAAATCAGAACAATACAACCACGGGAAAAAAATCTCAGCCCAGGAATGGAAACTGATACTTCAGTGCTAAGGATATGCAATGCGCTTCATACCACAGTGCGTTTCAGCGTTTGCCAACTTTTTTAAAAACGCATTTTGTAATCAGTCATTCACAAAAACTAAAAACCACACTTTCAACTGTTGCCGAAAGTCACTGAGCTTTAGCCACTCAATTATGAAAACAAATCAATACAGAATTCGTCATCCCTTGGCCCGTCCCTACTCCGCCCCTCCCCGTGGAGGGCGCTCTCCACGCCCCGCTGCAGGATGCGGGCACCCTGCCCACTGAAGCCTTCCCAGTGAGCCCAGGTGCGTCTCATACCTCTTTATTTGGTCTCTGCTACGTGGGCAACGACTTCTAGGGTAACTGTCGTTGCAGTGATTTTAGGAATTCACAACTTCCACTCCGCTTTTGCCTTTGCTATTAAATTAACAGTTCAGTGCAGATGTGAATCGGTTTTTAGGAAGCTCCAGAAGAAAGAAAAATACATGACAACTTATCTGATGTCTGTAAATAAATAACAGCAACATAAAACCTTACCCATGCGTGTGCGCACACACACGCACACACACGCATGCACACACACACACACACACACCACTGTAAAGTGTCAAAGATGTGCTGCGTAAAAATGAACCCTAGCAGGTGGGGGAAGGAGGCTGGCGGGCGCGCTGGGTTGCTCAGGGAGAGAAGGCTGACACAGAACCTCGGGGACCCACAGCCTCTGTGGTGTTTCCTGTGCTATCAGTTAAGAAAAAGGCGACAAACCCAAATGCTCCAAACTTTACAGGCAGTTCAGCTCCCAGGCAGTCAATCGGGCTCACTGCCTGCCGAAGTTAGTAGTGAGGCTGTCTAGACCACGCTAGGCTTCCCATATTCCTGAGGTTACACACACTCAACCGACTGCTCGGATTAGATGTTTTCTACAAGGATAAGTTGGTTAAAAAAGAAAAACAACTTAACACGTTCAGGTTTTGCTGATACGGCCCCTCCCGGCTTGACCCTGCCACACGGTGTCAGTGTCAGGAGCGCTCCAGGAGGTATCAGCAGGTACGGATGCAAAAGACAGACTGACTCCCTGGGTGACTAAGTCACATGTGGTGCTGACAGGACAGCAATCACAGGGCCACGTGGAGAAGGGCTCTACCACCCACCACGGCACACAGAACTCGCCCAGGATATCCTCTCAGACACGATGAGAGCAGCCACACTACACCTCACCATGAGAGCAGCCAGCTGCAGCAGCCGAAGGTTTCTGTGGGTGACAGGGGCCTTTATTGCATGTCCAATGCTCTCGATTTCAAGTTTTGGGGGCTCTGATTCAACAGTCGCCAGAAAAACCACAATCCACAACCAAGGTCCTCCCCCATGTTCCAGACTCTCTGGAGCCCTGACTGCATTTCGATGTGGACGCACTGCAGCACCCACTTAGGCAAGTGTCCCACCCCATGCCCCAAATTCTTGGCACCTCCAGTTAGCAAGAAAGACACACACCGGAGTATCTCACGATACTTCAGGGGGAAATCCCAGGGTAGAAAACACAGTATTCTGAAAGTCTCTAGACGCACGCACACCCTTGCGCTCCTATGTCCATGTTCATAAGATTCTACTGAACAAAGATGGGGACAAGTCACCCATGCTTCCCTCCCGCCCCGGAAAGGACCGATCCACTGCAGGGTGAGAATGATCTCCCAGTGCTTAGAGAACACAGCTAAATGTTCCAAAGCTAAAGTCTCTAAACAGCAGAAGTGGTGCCGGCACCATAGTGCTGACAGGTGACAGAGATGTCACCGAGTGAGAAGGAGAGGCCTGTGGCTGCGAGGCAAGAGCAGCGACACCTCTAGGACGAGCACATGCACAACATTCTGGACCGGACAGCACATCTAGTCTATTCAATAGCAAGAATGAACAGCTGGGAAAGAGATCTCCACAGGACCGCGGTCCTCAATGCTAAAATAAGCAAGAAGAAAGAATCACGGATTGGAATCAGTTACTCCAAGAGGAAACCTATGTCGTTGCTTTAGATGAATAGGTCTCAAAGGGGTGGTTTCCCGTCACACAGCACTGAGAAAGTGCTCACACTAGGTGCGAGGTCAGAGGTGAGTCCGGGAGAAGAGCTCCTCCTCTTGAGGGTCCACCCACTCGCCACCACCGTCAGAGCCTGAGTCTCTGGGGTCAGGGCTGGCGCTGGAGCACATCTTCCTGGAGAGGCCATTTGCTTGGGCCCCAGGACCACCCTCTCTGGTGCACCGTGCTTCAGAGACAGAAGAAACCTGCAAGGCAAGATGGTTTCACAAGATGAGCACAGGTGTGATGAAAAGATGAAAGCAGGTGTGATACTCTGCCCTTACCCCCCCCCCCATGACACAACAAGCTGCGGTGTGCTCCTGTGGAGAGGCAGGGACAGGAAGAGCTGCCTGCTGCAGGGCGAGACACCATTCCACCTGCTGCCTGAGACCCTGCATCCCCCCTCTGCTGCCCAGTCACCTAGACAGACATGGCCACGTCAGGCCAGGCTAAAGGAATGCTGCTTCTTCCTGCCACGCTCCTGCCGCAGGACAGCAACGGTGCTGGGCACAGGACTCCACTGGGAGGACAAAACTGGACATGCCCGCCCAGGGCTCACAGCCCAGGGGGCAAAGGACAGGCAAACTGACACACTCACGCCCAGACCGCAGGTGCCAGCGCACTGGGGCACAGCCCGGGTTCGGCATGGTGGGAAGGCAGTGCTTCTCGCAGAAGCAGAGGGAGAGGGGGCTGCTATGACCTGGGACCCTGACCTCATAGTGCTTTTCAGGGCAAACCCTTTGTTGTCTGAAGTCTCCCCTTCACCAGATGGTGAGCACCTCCGTCTCCGAGGACAGGAGGTGCAAGTGGCAGCCCCCGCCAACCACAGGAGCTAGCAAGGCCTCCTACCCCATCTTCGGAACTGGCACCAGCCCCACACCATCTCCAAGTGGCAGCCCTGCACCCATGAAAAATTGGAGCAGGAGGACAGAAAAGCCAGCGTGAGGCACCAGGAGGGGCGTGAGGCCGGGGGCAGAACACTCGGGCTGGAGGCACAGCAGGAGTCTGCATTTGCTGAGCGCAGTGGGCAAGAGCAGGGCCCAGCCTCAGACTGCAGGCCCGTCAGGGCTGCACCACGCTGACTCACTGCTCGTACTCTTGGGGCACCTTGGTGTTCTGCTCTGTGGATCAGGCACACCAGACTACACTTGCGAGCACACGGGCGGCACCAAGCTAGTGCCTCACAGGCCGGAGAAGCCCAGCCACTGCTGAGAAGAGGACTAGGGTGGCAGTCTGCGTGAGGCAGAGGGTGGGGGCAGCAGGAAGTGGGCAGCCCATGTGGAGGCGACAAGGGAAACGGGGCAGGGCTGGAGGCCGAGGGGGACAGTGTGAGCCACTTGCCGAGGCAGGCTGGGGACACCAGGACCACTGGCACTGTGGTGCTAGAGCACAGTTCTTACAGGGGCAACCCACACTGGGAAGCAAACAGAGCATCCTGAGAGCCAGTTGCCGGCCTGCCTGCCTGGGAAGGCCCAAGCCGGGGCGGGGCCAAGATGAGCCTGCTCTTCCCTCACCACCCTCCAGGTGCTGCCACGGTGGCCGAGGCAGACACTCAGGCATGGACGAGGCCACATGCCACCATGCGGTGGGCCAGAGGGAGGGCAGAGTGCATCCCACAGGGGCCAGGACAGGGTCACGTTCCAAAGTGGCAGCGCTGGAGGAGGGGTGCAGGGTCGGCTCCGAGTTCACATACAGAGGCAGTAGTGGGCAGGAGATGCCAGAGGGGCACAGGGATCCGGTAGGAAGCCCTGGCAGTGAAAGGCTGAGGTGGAGGTGAGGGAGACCCGAGGGGCCAGCAGGAGCAGGGCTCTGGCTGCAGACCTGGGGCCGTGGGCAGGGATGTGGCCAGCGTGACAGTGAGGGGCGGCCATTTCTAAGTTGTAACGAGGAGGACGACAATCCACTTACCCTATTAAAATCTAACAGATGCTCTTCATTACCAGGTATTTCTTTAACATCTGGATATTCTTCTATACCATTCTCTCCCTTGGCATTTGTATAACAGTCTTAATCATTGTGGATGGAGAAGGGAAAAAGGGAAAAGGGGAAATTCCATTAAGACATAATTTTGAAACAGACATTCTTGTTCCATTTTCACTGCAAAGGTAGGTCTCCCAACACTCTGGAGATTTTAGGTGACCACTAAAAGCACAGCCAGCCAGGTGCACTTGACAAAATCATGATGCCATCAAAACTTCTTAAGCCAGACTGAGTTTAAAAAAAAAAAAGGAAAAAAACAGGTCAGCTAAAGACACATCCCTGTGATTCTACCATGAGACATTCACTCAACAAGTACATTTTCACACCTAGACTGGGACAGGCCCCAGGACACAGGATGAGAAAGACCACAGGGTCTAGTTCTCCAGGACACAGGGAGACAGACACCACCGCAGGAATGTAGTTCATGGGCGCGGGGACAGGAGCTGTGGACAATGCAGCGCCACACTAGGAGGCCACCCTGACAACACCAGGCCAACTTCACCTTGTGGAATGGGGAGAGGAGCGAGTGAGGGTCAGGGTTCGACTGGGCAAATGGACCTCAGGACTGGAAGCACATGCAGGCTGGATTAGAAGGGATCGTACAGATCAAGGAAGTCCCTCATTCTCCACCTGGGAGGGACGTGCAAGTCCCCAGGGGACATCTGGGAACCGCTAACCCTCAGAGGTTCCCAGGCGACTGCTCTGGGGGAGGCCAGACGTTGGTCCTTCTTGAGGCACAGGAAAGGCAGCACCAGATCAGTTGAGTGAGTCTTCTAAGGCCTCTTGTGCTGGGAGTTATCAGGAGGGCCAGCCTCGGGCAGGGCCAAGGCCTCCTGTGCCACTGCACAGCAGGATGGTGGTCAGCTCAGGATCCTGAGAATCTCCCAGGCTCTGGGATCTTACAGGCTGCAGTGGACTCCAGGAGACGCTGCTCACTGGCACAGTGACTCTGGGCATACAAGCATCATCTAACTAACTCTCTGGGCCCCCATCCCCTCCACTGCCCCTCCCAGGGCTTGAGCACACAGAAAGAGGTGCCACATGGGGAGGGAGCACACAGTAACAGCCACAAGCACCAACCCAGGACATGGGCTTTGGGACAGCTGTGGAGGCCGGGGACCTTGCCTCACCTTCCCACCCAAGCGCCCACAGCCCCGCCCCGCCTCACTGGGGCTGTGGTAGGAAGAGGGTGTCTCCCGGATGAAGGCAGGCTTGGGGGTGGGGGAGGCTGTTCAGGTGGGCACTGGGAAGGCGGGATGCTCAAATACACTCCAAGTTCTCCATGACGTTCATGGGAAGAGTCCCCAGGTTCTGAGTGGCGATGTGCATTAGACGCTGCTCAAGGGTTCTTACCCTATTGTGACTCACACACCAGGGAGCATTCCTTTCCTTTACCAGTCAAGGCAGTGAAGGCAGAGAGAGGTCCATCGCTGCCAGTCTAGCAGCTGGGCCCAGTGGCCTCGGCTCCAACTCGGCTGTGTTTCCCCAGCACAGGCCCTAACGCTGTCTCCTGCCCCCTGGCAGGGTTCTCTCGGGCAGCATCTCAGGCTTCCAAGGCCTGGAGAGCTGGGCCCAGCTCTGGAGGGCACCACTGCAGTATCTCCAGGCCCTCTGTGGGCTGCTACTGCACAGGCCCTCTGTGGGCTGCTACTGCACTGGCCCTACAGGAGTCCCAGCCGGCACAGGCTTTCACCGTTCCCCAAGCTCCTCCTTAGAAGACATCTGGCCGGAGGATGGGAATGAGTCTGTCTGAGTTCCTGAGCCCCAAGCAGTGCCCAGCACAGGGGAGGCACACGCTTGCTGCATGCTCAGGCCAGGCAGGCGCAGCAGCAAGCAGTCCCAATTCCCTGGCCCTGTCTCCCCACCCTACTGTCAGTGGGATGGCACAGTAACAAGTGGCCCTGGGCTCTGTCTCCTTGCGCTACTGCCAGTGAGGACATGGCCCATCCAGGGATGCTGGGAGGTCGGGGCTGCCCCTGGCTGAGCAGCGTGTGCTTATGCTTAATCGTTTGTAGCTTCTGCTCAGCAGGCAGGTGGCTGTTTCCCTGGCAAAGTCCCTCCTGAGGCTGTGGGCCCCACATCCATGCTAGAAGGAGGGTGCTTCCTGATACAGGGACTGAGGCACACACGTCACTGTTATTCAGCCACTTCACATACCACAGTACTTTGCAGAATAGCTGCTGGCCCAGACCTGCCAAAGACTACAGGGAGGACCCAAGAGCCAGAGCCAAGCGCTGGACTGGGTTCCTGCCAACTGGTGACAGAGGCTGGCCCAAGGCCAGGGAAGCACGGACGCAGGGTTCTGAAACCCCCGTGGAGTGGTCTTGTGCCATGTGGCAGCACCTTCTCTCTCCCTCAGGCTCTTCCCTCTGCACACAGCTCCAGCCCTCGCCACCCATGTTCTGCTAGCTGCACGGACATCTCTGGTACTCCTGGAAGGAAGGTCCGTGCTGCTACAGTCCTAGTGTCTCCTCATACGAGTGCACACCAGTGCTGTACAGGGCAAAACTTCCAGGACATACACCTGGCCCAGCGGGTGTGCTGCAGGACCTGGTTAAACTACTAACCTTGCAACACTGCCTCCCCCACTGAAAACAAGAGGCAGCACCTCATCCACTCCTGTGGGAGCTACACAAAAGGAGCACCTTCCAGGGTGCAAAGGACTGTCCAGGTACTCATATGAGTGAGCAGCAACCATGGAAGAAACAGATGCCAAGGAAGACTCAGCTCCCCACCTCCTCATGAGGCCGCCAGACCTCTGGGAAGGACGGCGGGACAGGCAAAGCTCTCCGTGGCTACTGCACAGGGAAAAGCAACACTGTCAAAGCAGAGTCCAATAGCCGATCCTGGCAGGCCGGATGGGCACACACCGTGGCTAGGGAGGGAAGCCACTGGCTGCAAGTGAACTGTAGTCCAGCAGGGTAGACATGAGGGACGAAAACGTGTGAACACACACAGAAGGTTCCCATAACCCCGGGCTCTGACAGCAAGGACTGATGGCCCCATACTCAACGCAGACAACAGAAGCCCAGAAGACCACAAGCCATCCAAGCCAGACCACCTGAGCCCACCTCACAAGGTAGGCTCTTTGGCCCCATTTCTCCCAGGACTCCCACAGGATTCCTACAGCTTCTGCAGGGGCTCATTCAGAGCTGTCCTGAGGGAAACCCCTCCTCTCCTGAGAGCAGTCTGCTCCTGCTCTCATTGCCCTCAGCATCTCCCCAGCTCTCTGCATCTGTGCCCACTGCTGCCACCTCACTCCCAAGCTGCTGTGGTAGCCCTGGCTTTGTAATGTGGTGCCCGGGAGCTTTGTAATGCCATCTCTACCTCGGCCAGAGCATTCTAAGCACCACACACCTGAGACTGATGTTGCCATACTGAAATCCTTCACTGCTACCTCTCCCTGCACACTGAAAGCTTCTAAAGTAGCCAGCTCTCCACTCCCCTGACAGGCTTCCCCCAGCCACCTTTCTGGACTCAGCTACACCCTGCCATGCCCCACGGGTTCCTGCTCCTTCAGCTGCCATAGACCCCCCTGCCTCCTTCCACAGCTGGACTTCGAGAGGACTTCTACCTCCGTGAGCTGACATGGCCGGGACAGCTCTTGTCAAAAGTTACTTATGCATTCTTGGCTTTCCAAGCCCCCCATCAGTTCGTGGCTGAGCATAAGAGCAGGTCCAATCCTCATTCACCTCTGTGTCCCCACGGAGGACAAAGAGGCCAGTACTTTGTTGGCCCCCAACAAAGTGCTGGCCACAAAGAGACCTCTTGGTAAGCAGTCCTCAGACCGACACTCAGAGAATGTACTGCTTTTAATGAAACAGAAGTCTGAATGAATTAATGGATGAACACAGGTCTCCTTACCTTCACATTCCGATGCAGGAAAAAGGGGAGAGTACAAGGCTTCTTCCCACCAGGTCTGCTTTTCTTGACTTCTACGCATTTCTTGCACATTAGTGTTCAATCCAGGAAACTATTTAGATTAAAAGCAAATATAGGAGACATTCGTAAACTTTCAGAATAGAGGACAAAGTTCCAGCAGCACTACCCACTATAAATTCAGGATTATTGATTGATTGATTGAGACAGGGTCTCGCTTTGTAGTTCAGGCTGGCTCTGAACTCATTATGTAGCCTAGGCTAGACTCGTACTAGCAGCGATCCTCCTGCCTCAGCCTCCCACATTCGAGGATTACAGGAGCATTCTACAACTGGCTGGAAGTTTTCTTAAAAGCGTACCAGAAAATACTCTCAAATGAAGAAAAATGTCTAGATTTCAGAAGTGCACACCAATTGCAACAGGGCAACCCAAATCTCAGGTGCTCGACAGAGGACAAGGGGACCTCTTCTCATATACCCTTCAGGAGAGGGAGTTTTAAAAAAAGAGGAATAGAAGGAAAATCCTCATGGGCAGCATTACCAACCGAAATGCCTTTATAACAAAATCATTTGCTCAGGTGAGAACCAGAAGGAAGCTGAGATTTAAACACACATATACACATACTACAAATTTAGTAACTCCAATTCAAACAGGATGAGCCAGCCGGAAGAGATGAGGGAAGGACTGCAGAGCAGGGAGGCTCACTCTGCATCACCCCTGTGGCTCCGGCAGCATGAAAGGCAGTGGCCACACACTTGAGTTGGCACCGCCCTTTACAAGCTGCACTCCCAGGGCCAGGCTGGACCTGCCTGCTCACCTGGTAGTGAGCACCAGGGGTCGGGATCGACAGGCAACAGCTGTCAACTGTGGCCCAGAAGAGTCCCTGGGATGGGTCACCAGCAGCCTCCCGGCCAGCTGTGGTTAACACCTGTCCCTTGGTATGCAGGCTTCTCCACTGTGCCTGGGAGGCAGCATGCCAGCCAGCTCCCCCAGGCCGAGGCTGGCAACATCTTTGTAACTGCCAGGGCCGCTGCACTGTGCTTGCGATGGAGAGGCCTACAAACTGCTTAGACATGTCTTCATGGGTTCAAGTTTAAAATCGGAATGGTTTTAGTAACTAAGCAATTCAATCAGGGATCTAATTCAAATGAGCTAACGGTTCAATTCTTGAATAGAATTTTGTTATGCTTTTAGCTATAAATTATTTTACGGTTTTAAAATTGCTTGGTTCAGTAACACGCTCTTTATTATGTAACTAAGTGGGAAATACACTCTAAACTTTCATTTTCACTTAGCGTAACTTTTCAGAAATACTCCCAAATTAGCAACTGTAGAACTGTACTGTCTACCCAGTATGATCAGTGAACCATCACTACTTTCTCCTGCAACTTAGCCTGACAAGGAAATGAGTACTGCTGTTAGAAAAACAGATGTCCAGGACCAGAGAACCCACAGGGCCCAGCAGAATGCAAAAGAGGCTGCTTTCTACAAGACCTGGGCTGACCCAGGTGGGAAGAGCACCTGCAGCAGTTCCAGAAAGGCCTTACCTGTTGTGGGATTACTGGGAGCTAGTCCAGCACCAGGCAGGATGCCCTGGCCAGAATCCTCTCCTTCATCCCAAGGCACTTACAGAGAGAGATGATTTTGGAGGGCAAAGTTCCTGTCTTCCTGTCTACCAGCCTTACTTTACTAGTGTGAGATTAATTATGCTGCATATCTTTTCATCCTTTCTTGAGACAGTAAGGGTGTGAGGGCAAGAGGGAGAAAGCTCATCAGAGGACTGGGTGTGATGAGCAAAGCAGGCTGGCAGCATCACCAAGGTGGGGTCAGAGGCCACGTAACCACACCGGATGCTTCCTAGGGGCAGGACACTGTCACTAGGCAAGGACAGATGCTGCCCAGTGTCTGGGACCTCAGGAAGCCGTCTCTGGCCTGGTCCCGGACTGCGAGCACCTCCCCTCCCCTCTCTCCTGCCAAGGCCCCTGACAAGAGCTGAAGGGCTCCCACAGCAGCTTTAGAAGCAAGCCACTTCTGCATTCTCCATCTGACCGCCAGCTCCTCCAGTTGGAACTCGGGCCTTCTCAATCCGTACACAGCCTTTTATGACATCTCCCTGCTCAGTTGTTTCAACTTTTAGGTCACACAGCAGGGTTGGCTGCTTCTTCACTCATCTAATGTCTGCCTAACGTAATTCTGGTTCGGTTGTGGTGGAAAAGAGTGCAAACACACACCATCACAGAGAACAGAAAAAGCAGAGTGAAGGCAGAGGAAGAGAACCGGACTGCTGGGAGGAGGTGCAAGCTGTCCTCTCGCTCACTCAGCTCCAAGCACTTCCCCACGGCAGCTCTGCATGGAGCCCCCACATGCTTCGCCTAGCTCTTCTTATGTGGACAGCACTGCCTATAACTTCATGTGCTTCCTGTCAGCTCCCTGAGGGCGCGGGCAGCTTCACAAAAGTGGGGCTGTTCATTCCAAGCACCCAGGACAGCACCTGGTATAGCAGATGCTCAGCGCATGCATTCGATGAAAGGATGAAATGGTTAAAGAAAAAAAAGACACATCCCCACTACCAAAAAAAAAAAAAAAACAGGAAAAAAGACACAATTGAAAAAGCCTGACAAGAAATGCTTTAGCAACAGACATCACCCTCAGAAGTGCTTTAGAAGACAGAAGTCAGGTAAGCAAACAAAAGCTTCAGAGGTGCACATGCGCACTCAACATCCTAGTTTCGGTGGAGGAAGGCGCCAGAGACCCATTTTACATGGGGACCAGTGCCCCTCTGCTACAGGCAGTTCCCAGTCACCTGGGTTCCAAAAGTAAAGGGAAACCAACAGGCCTCTCAGAAAGAGGTGATACAAGTGCACCAGAGACTCGAGAGGAGCCAAGTTGCCTGCCTGCCTCTTCTCCTCTGCACACCCCAATATGGAGGACAGGTCGGTGTCCCTCCCTGTGGGGTCTGGGCAGGCCTCCCACCCCTCCAAGCCTATGTGGCCTTAGTAGCTGGACGGTGAAATAAATCTGCGTGGGTATCCAGTGGGACGTGGTAACAGCCCCGTCACAGGTGGACCGTGTGCCACAGCGTGGGTGACCGCCTCAGCACAGTCCCTGGGGGAGCAAGATGGCCTTCTCTCTGAGCTGCACCGGACAGTCCTGTGGAGACAGGCATTAAGCCTTCTGCTACTTTTCTTAGCTTCAAGATGCCTGGCACTAAGTGGGCAACCAAGGCAACTCAAACTTGGGCAATTGCCAGACACCTGCAGCTCCCTACAGCCTCCATGCTCCTCCTCACTCTGGCCCACACTGACATCTGGCCGCACAGCACCTCTACAGCACACCCAGGCACGCTCGGGGCCTTCCTTCCACACTGCTACCAGCCTGGGCGAGGCTCCAAGGTCTCCACAGCCTCCTGGGCTCCCCTTCTCTGCTCCAGCCACCACATTACCTAAAAGTGGGCTGGCTCTAAGGCCCTGGAAGCCAAGGAACTGGCCACTTAAATTACAGTGCATCCGTACAGTGGAGCATGTAAAAAATAAAAAAGGAAGGGCAATTATAATACAATGCCATTTCAGTTAAAAAAAAAACAGGAGGAAATATCTCTGTGATTATGTATGCGCCTGTCCATGCAAGAAACAACCTTGGAGGGCCCACCAGAGTTCATACCCATAACAGCTCTTGGGGACGGGGCTCGACACCAAGTATAGTCTTCTTGGAACTCCTCAGTCTTATAGGAGTTGTCTATTTCAGTTAAAAGAGACTGTTTACAAATCGGTCTTCTTGCCTAGACTGAACCTGTCCCAGGCAAGGACAAAGTCTTGTTCATCAGAATTCCTATCTCAGCAACAGGTATTTAATAAATGTCCACTGAGCTGAACTTTAACTTTTGGGAAAATCAGGGTGGGGGATGTAGCTCAGTGGTGACGTGCCTGCCTAGCAAGCTCAAGGTGCTGAGTTCAATCCCTAGTACCAAAAAAAAAACCAAAGCAAAACTAAGAACTTTTGGGGAAATCCTAGACACCAGTTCCAGTGGCAATCCTACTAGAACTGCAGAGCAATCCTGCTTGCTCTGAAAGTGACGGGGTGCTAGCGTCTTTGAATGGGGCCCTGGAAAGAATGGCTTCACTCGAGGAAGGGGAAAGAGTGTTCTCCGAGGAGCTGCAGAGGACAAACAGACAAAGGGACAGGGGAGGGCACTGGGTCTGGTCCTGGCCCAGTCCCAAACAGTCCCTTCAGGCTGCTCTCTCCACCTCTCCAACCTGGCGCCACACCACAGCGCTGCTGCTGAGACCTCGGTACCCACAACACCTGACTCCCAGACACCCCGAAACATCCTCTGGAAGCTAAGGCCTTCCAGGAAAACCCAAAATTCCAATAACGTGTAAATACATCAACATACTAGAAAGCGAAGGAATATGGTAGTGGTATGGTGCAGACTCTTGCTTCTTTCCTCTTTTTCTTTCTTCCCAATCTGGAACCAGGTGAAATACAAAGTACATAAAGGAATATTTAAGGAGGAAAAGGGGGGCAATAAACAATAGATAAAGGCTAACAATATTACTGGTTTTGCTTACAGTGGCGACTTCAGGGTTCCAAAGGGACTAAGCTCATCCCTCTACAGGTCCCCAGACGCACTGACCACAGCAGTGGCTCTCAAGTTACCGCCTACACCACGGGTAGCAGCTGCACACTTAGGCACTGAGTAAGGCATGGGCCACAGCCACGAGGAGCTGATAACCATGCATGACACACATACTCAGAAAACACAGAAAATGCAATAAAAAAGAGGCATCAAGCACAGAAAAATGAAGAGAACGAAGGAATTAATTCTGATGGGGGTCAGAGTGGAGTAGGGAGAGAAAGTGTCAGTGAAGGAGGTGGCGTGTGGAAAGCCTCATGGTAGGGGTGGGACTCAGCACACAGGGAGGCCAGGAGGGAGGCTGCGCTCACTGCTGCGCCTCAGGGGGTGTGACTTCTAGACACTGCTTAGCAAGCTGCTACTGGAGAAAGGACAGGGACTGCTTTGTCAGATAATGCTGAAAAGTGCGTGGATTGTGATGCTTTTTTGGAAACAGGGTATTATTGCCCTCAGTGCTGGTGTTAGTTCTGGTACAATCAATTTAACCTGAGACCCTTCTTTGGAACATAACCAAGGGATACGATGATTTCATTAACAAAACTGTTGACACCCCTCTGACTTGATGAACTCAACACAGAATCCAGAGCTCTCAGAATCTACTTTGTATAACGCAAGGTACACCTAACTTAGGTTCTGTAGAAAATATCGTGTTACATTTCAACTGTGGGTTCATTTTCGCATGCACCACAATGTACTTCAGAGAACGTTGACCAGATGTAACTTAAACGTAAAACACAAGCTTTAACAAAACTGATCAACATCAAAGAAACAGTTGGACAGGCTTGCTATCTAAAGAACCTAGCAGCCATATCCAGGTTCATTGGCTTTGAGAGCTGGAATGCTAACATACAGTTTTTGCTTTATGCATAGGGCATTAACACTAACACATAAGAATCTTAAAACCTGCCATATTATTAAATGCACATTAATTCAAATTTGTAAATATCAGATCCATATTAAGTCCTTAAATGTAAAATCATAAGCTGTCAGACATTTAAGCTAATTTCTCAATAGTTTAGCCTCTCTCTTTCAGGGCCTGACAATGCTATTCTCTTTTTTTGGTACCAGGAATCGAACTCAGGACCTTGAGTTTGGCAGGCAGGAGTGGCGCCACTGAGCTAAGTTCCCGGCCCAACAATACTTTGCTTGACTTAAGTCTGATCAAATCCTTTGTCAAATACTGACACACATGGAAACATACCTCTTCCAGCTGTCCCGAAGAAACTGAATTATCTTCATAAGCAGGGAACTGACAACCTGCTTTGCAACTGCAAAAATTATTAATTTCTTCCTCACATTGTGCCATTATTTTACAATTTGCTTCTGAGCTTTCTATATCTATTTCCAGAGATTCACTCATGCTACATTCCAGACACTGATTTTGCTTTCCGACTGGCAAAAGCCCAGTCGACTCCTCCTGGGAATCAAGTGATGTCTGAGCACTCTTTTCCATTCCAGACTTTTTTAATCTGGGAAGGAATTTCCCAGACTCAAGCTCTGATTTTCCATAGTAATGGCCTTCTTTCTCTGCGTCTTCTTCCAGAGGTTTGAGATCTGCCTGTGGATCTTCAAATACATCAGCTTGAGGTGGAACAGAAACATTGGCTTCGTCTTTCTCAGACTCAAACTCTGACTCGCTCCCTCCTCCTGGGGACAGTTCCGATGCAGAGATTGGGCGGAAGTGAGTCCTGGGAGAGATCCGGATGGCTCTGTACTGCGTCCTGTCAACGCCACATATCCGAGGGTGAAATACTTCACTGTCTGAATCAGAGCAGAGGATTGATTTGGGTTTAAAAGTGGGGTTGAAAGATGCAATCCCTTCAGGTTCAAATGAACATTCTACATGAAGAACTTGTGAAAATGGATTACTTAGGTCAAAGGAAGAGAATGAATATTCAAGTCCAGGATCTTCAACCTGAAAGTTACCACAAGCTCCTAGTAAGTCTTCATGGAAGATAAAAGAAAATCCCTTATTTAACCCATTTTCCCCGCTCTTCGGCTGATCATTCTGTTCAAATGACATGAAGGGTTTCCACAACTGCCTGTGACCAGGAGCAAAGCTGTTTCCTGGGGTCATAAAGACGTCTGTTCCGGCTATGGTCACAACGTCGGAAGCTGCACACTGCAGCAAGCTTCCTTTTGTGTGGCCTGGCGGCACAACTGCCCATTCCCCATCACTACTGAAGGTTTTGAGTTCTCCATAGACTCCCCCAAGAATGAAAGCATTCTCTTTATCTTGGGCCACAGCCCAAGGTTTAGAGGGTGTGGTGTAATCACCACCACCCACCTTGGAGAGCTCGGCGGACACAAAGGCTCTCTTCTCCAGGTTTTCTTTCTGTCCCTCCCAGAGGTGATATTCAGACCTCTGCACTGCCCTGCTGGGCTCCTGAAGGGTCTCCATTTTAGCTTCAGCATCTAAACAGCAGCAGTAGTTATTTACATCTATTGAAAACAACTCATCGTCAATTCTTTCTATTTCTACTGTGGCCACAGAATTTCTATCTGCCATCTTTGTCCAAATGTCTTTAATAACCCCTGAGCTGTAGCCATCTCCATGTGGACTGCTTTCACTACATACTTGTGTAGTTTCAAAGTTTTTGTTTTCTGTTTTTTGTTCTAGCTGAATACCACAGACAGACTCTAGTTTGGATCTTTTTTTGAAAACTAAAGTTGGAATTTCTCCCAAAGTTCTACTGTTTTGCTGGCAAGTTTCATCTTGCAAAAAATCTAGAAGTTCTCCATCTACATAATTTGATGAGACTCTAGGAACTACATAATTAATATCATCTGCATTAAACTGTGTGGATTCTTCAAACTGAATGTTCAATGTCTCATTGTCAGAACGTGTTTCTTCTGAATGGGACCATGGACTACAAGTTCTCGTTGAAAGATTAGAACAGTGTTCATTTTCTTCAAAGGCACTATTTTTGGTCCATATTAGCAATCTAGATTGTGTTTTCCCAAGCATATTAGCACTAGAATCTGTATTTTCATTTCCCAAGTTGAGCGTTTCAAAAGAAAATGGTAAAACAGAATTACTGCATTGCACTTCAAACACTGAAAAACAAGAGTTTATACCAGATCCTTCATTAATATCTGAGAAGAGCTCTTGATTGCCAGCAAGCAAATGTGAATTGAGCATTGTGCTGTCCAAGATCGGAGAGAGTCTAACTGGAGAGTCTCCTCCAAAGCTCTCCCCATCGGCATCACCAGAGCTGGATGAACAGCACTCCCAAAACTGAGCCAGATTGCCAAGGTCTTGCAGGAACAAGCCCTCAGCACCCACAGAGCTGGTAGAATCTGTCCATATTGCACGTTCCCCTTGCAACTCCATACCATCTAACACTATGCAACATTCTGCCTCAAAATTTGTATTCTCTTTGCTTTTTTGTCGAATCATATTCAAGATCCGACTTTCTCCTTGCATTGTTTCTGAGGCACCAGGATCCAACATGGATTGATCAATATCCACTTCATAGAAGTGTGTTAATTCTGACAGATGAATATCATCCAGGTATTTGTTGTCCTCTGGCAGAGAACCTAATGAGGTCCCAGTGAGGTCAACATCCTCATTTATAACTGCAGGCATTTCTACAAAATGGCCATCAATGAAAGCGCCTGCTGCGAGGTATGTCTTGTGAGTGTTACTGCTGCTGATACAAAGGCCACGCACAGATTCAGACAAGTCTCCCACTGCATCCGGTGTCAGAGCACTTGATTCCTGTCTGTTTCGGTATGTGGTCTCTAGTTTACTCTTCCTGCTCAAAGGAACAAAATACTCAGCAATCGGTTCGGTGTACCACAATGGCTCCTCTTTATATTCTTTGTCGTTTCTGCTCTCTGTGTACAGCTCTTTCCCTCCAGTGCTCCCAGGATCTCTTCTCCCTGCCTCCTTCACTGGTCGCCTACCCCGCTTGCACAGCTGCCTGATGGACCCGGCACTGCTGCTGCTGCTGTTGCCGCCCACATGGACTCTTCTTTCTGCCTTCTCCCCGTGCTTCAGGGACAGCCTGCTTTGCCCGTTCCGCCCTTTCTTGTTTCGAATGTCCCGCGCCTTATGTCTTACTTTAACGTACTTCATGGATGCTTTGATTTCTCCCTGATTACCACTTGAACTCGAGCCTCCTTCACTAGAGCCGGAAGACCAGGAGCGAGGGCGCGTCTTCCCTTCCAGTTTGTGTCGGATCTGCTTTTTGTACAAGGCAGGTTTTTCTTGCACAGTGCCATTGCTCAGTTTGTTCTCCTTCTCATGTCTACTTCTGCTCTGGGCTTTCTCGTGCACAGTGGTGGGCCCTTCGGTGCCTCTTCCCTTGATGACTTCACTTTCACTGTTGCAGTCCTTGGGAGAGGACGTGTCTGTGCTCACTGGGGGGGCTGTGGATGATGAAGAGGAGCTGGAGTAAGAACAGGCCTTGGACTTGTTCCACACAGTCATGATTTCTTGCAGGCAAACTGGTTTCTCAGAAAGTGGTGGAAATGCTTCATAGTACCTGAAAAACAGAGGAGTGTTCAAAAATGAAATGCATTTCACACAGTAAAACACATCCAACCAGAGAAGGAGAATATTTCATTCTGAGTCAACATGCACATCATCTATGAATTAACTGTAAAATAGTTTGCAATACAGTAAAATATGCTGTACAATAAATTAATCCTGTGCATCAAGCACCTTTTTGCTTAGCACTGTGATAAGCACTTTATGAACATTATGAAAATATGTAAGATGACAATTGTATCTTCAAAGCTTGAATCTTAATTAAGAAGCAAAAAATGACAAATACAATGTAGTTTTGAAAGAACATAGTCTTTTCAGTACAAAATGTTTAAATGTAAGCCTCAGTTACTACACCTTTGACTTTAGCTCATTATTTAATGTTTTGGTCTAGTTCCTCAGCTGGGAAAGATGAGCATACGACTTACCTCACAGAGTTGTTCTGAGCACTGGAAATCTATGCACCTGAAAAGCTGGATAGCTAATGAGTCAAGGGGATGAGCTCTGAAGCCACACTCCTTGAGATGGGATTCTAGCTTTGCCCTCTGCTAGCTGTGTGACGTTAGAATCATTCTTTCATCTCTCTGGGGCTCAGACTCCTCAGTCACAAAAGCAGGAGGTGAGAGCACCCATCTTACAGTACCAGGGAGTTGGTGTCAGCAGTAAAGGAATTAATATGTGAAGTGAATCAGAAAAGCACTTGCTTAAGGGACTGTCCTGACTCCTGTTAACTCTATCTCAGGATGCTAGCACAGGGCCTGGCATTCTCAGCAGGCCCTTGGGGGTGGTAGGGACGATCACAGAGCACATAGGAAGAAGACGCTGGTACCGCCTAGAGCAACCAGAGGAAAGGAGACCTTAGCAGAGCCTTGCTGTCCCATGGGGCAGAGGTCAGTGAGTACAGACTGTGAGGAAGGAGGACCTGCAACACACACTGGCTGTGCTCCTGTGCAGAAGCCTAACTGGAATGGAGTTCCTGGAAATGCGTAGAAAGAAAGAGCAGGAGGCTGGCTGTGCAGGGCTCTGACCTGCTAGGAAACCGGTAGCCACTGAAGATCTGAGAGCAGAACAGACTGCCAAAAGCAGAGGCGAAGTCCTGTGGGCTACTGAGATAATACTGCTGTGGGGATAATACTCAAGGTCACACAGGAAATGGCAAAGGCCATGCTTTCAGAGGGCCTAAACTTGACTCTCCTTCTCAGTCTATATAAGAGGTGTCTACTAAAAGTATAGTATGAGCTACATATATAATTTAAGCATTCTAGCAATGACATTAAAGGTGTAAGAAAAAATGGTGAATTCCAATTTTAATACATTTTATTTAACCAAACTGATACCATTTCAACATGTCATCAGTATTAAACAATAATGCAATATTTGGCACTTTTATGGTAAGTCTCTGTAATCTGATGAGAATTTTACACCTAAAGGACATCTCAACTTGAACTAGCCATGTGTCAAGTGAAAAACAGTCTCCTGTAGCTTACAGTTATAGATAGTATGGGTCTATACAAAGCAACTAAACACAATTTTTCCTTTGGGTTTTACCGATTCAGAAGATTAAAATAAAATATGTAACAAGGAAATCTGCTTAAAATGTAGGGTATTTTAATACTAATCATTTACAAAGAAAGAACTAAATGTACACAAAACAGGTTTGATTAGATCGAGGATTTGCTTGTGCTACCTTTGCAACAGGAAGTTGGGAATGTTTTCTTGCTTATAAACAAGGATAATCATAATGTCGCAAAGGACTATAAACAACGATCGTCCTCGTGTTGTTCATTTCACCAATGTTTCTCGAACATGTGGGTAAGGACAGAACCATCTTATTCAACTTTGAATTCTCAGGGTCAAGCATATGATAAGTGTTCAATAAATATTTCTTAAATTACAAAGTATGGAACTAAGTAGATGATGATAAAATGGAAACCACGTAGCAGTTTATCAGTCTGACCTTAACCAATGCACAGTTTACACTGAATACGATCTTACATACATCTCCACTTGATCCTTCTCTGTGGGGGATAATTCTACCTCTGGAGATGGAGACTCCTCCAACTTTTTGTGAATTTTCTCTTCTGTTAGGAAAGAAAAATTCAGAAAGATCTGTCACACCTAGTTAATAAATCCTCATTTTTAAAAAAGTTTCTCAAGTAATTTTAATCAGAAATGAAACAGGAGTTTATATCTTAAAAAGGAAAATCCATTACAGTTTGTCTTTTTGTGGTTTTTTCTTTTTTGGTACCGGGGGTCAAACTCAGTCCTTGCACTTGCGCAGCAGACGGCGAAACCACTGGGCTAAATCCCCGGCCCTTACAGTTTGTCTTTTTAATAAACACCTACCCATTCAGTGCGCCAGGAGAGGCTCGGGCTGCCCACATCCCCTCCCCAGCTCTGAGCCCTGGGGCACTTACATTCCCTGTGCACTCACTCACTTATTAGTCCAGACCAGCAGGAAAACATCTGTTTGGATCCCAAAAATATTTTCTCACAGAATCCTGACGCATAGACTTTGTACTGACTCATTCTGACTAATACTAATGTGTAAGGAAAATTCATTACAATTAACTGCTAATTCACATGTAGGTAAGAAAGGGCTATGTTTCAACTCAAATACAAAGAGCTAAACTTTTACCTTAGCTCATAATACTGCCTTCAGTTACAAACAAACAGTGCCCTTAATAAGAGGCTCCAACCACCCCCACCCCACCGGCCCGGCCCGCAAAAAACAGAGGCTCGAGGCATAGAAAAATGACCACAATGAAGGCAAGGAAACAAGGTGCTTGGCCTTCAAATGTAAGTCTCTTTCTTGGGCCTTGCAGACCAATCAGGAACAGAAGTTGCAAGGGTTCACATATCAAAATGACTTAATCAGCTTTATGCCCATTCCAAAAAAATTCAAGTCAGGACAAAAGATCCTTCCACACCTGAAATAATCAGTCATCAGTGTCACCACTTCTGGAGGCAGTAATATCAACAGGCAGATACAATAGGGGGACAAGTATGAGGAAAGAGAAAATACTGCTGGTGAGTGCTGAGGTTCAACTTGAAGACCAAGGCAAAACAGATAAACAGAAAGAAAACACCCCCTCCCTCCGCTTTCTGTCTCTCAGGGTGTCCAGACATGGAAGTCCCTCTTCTCTTGTGGGAGCGGGGCTCTCTAAGTGGCTACAAAGGGCCGACACACTGCTAGCACAGCTAAAGAAGGAATGAGGTGCTGGGCTCATGACACACACTGCACACAAAGACTTCTGAGCAGTTCTGAGTTTGCTTCAAGCCACAGCAGGGGCTACGCTATGGCCATGGGCTCTGCTCCTGAAGGAGGCGACACTACTCACCTTGCTCACTCTGCAGGTCTTTCAGTCTGCAGCAGAGCTCCTCCACCAAGGTCTCGATGCCAGAGCTCTGGGAGACAACAGAAAGAAGACTGTTAGCTCACTGCCAGATGGAGAAACACAGGCACTCATACACTTCTGTGTTAATACAGACACTTATATACCAGAGTTTAAAATCTGTCAGCAACAAAAACAGTACTAAGTATCTACCTGAGCACCGTCTATACAGATTCAACCAAAGAAACACCACAGAACAATTCATGTTGGTCTTTTAGGAGGTCACAGTCTAAAGAAAACAAGGTGATTCTTTTCTTTTTTAAAGTGAGCTCTCATGACGTTGGGGTCAAATGTGAAAGCATTGCTTTCCTTTAAACATCAGTCAGAACGAGGTGTAAGCCTCTATATAGAACCAGAACAAAATTCAGGAGGGGTAGCTGGAAGAATCTGGGATTGGGAGGATAAAAGTAAGAGTCCAGCCTTTAAAGAAAAATTAATGTTGAAAACAGGCACAAGCAAATAATCTTTCACTATGTAGACTTTTTAAACTTTCCATAGTCTTGATTTCTTGCAAGAAACATCTTACATTGCCGGGGATTTAGCTCAGTGGTTCCGGCACCTGCCTTGCAAGCAGAAGGACCTGAGTTCGATTCCCGGTACCCAAAAAAAAAAAAAAAAAAAGTTACAAATTTTCAAAAAAAAAAAGAGAAAAGAAACATCTTACAGAAGACAAAAAAGGTGAATGCATTTCTTAGAACGTTGGATTTATTCAGTGGCCAACGTCCTACTTAAGTCAGACTCGAGTCCCTTTCAGTGGGCGCAACCAAACAGACGCACAGGTCGAGCATGCAGTGCCCTTCCCAGGCCTCAAGAGACTAAAAATAGAACTTTACCCCATTCACTCAACTCAGAATGACTCAGCACAAGTACTAGAGATTCCTGAACAAGAAACCCCTCAGTTGTACAGTTTGAGCAGCAAGATATCAATTACAATGAAAACAATTAATTGTGAACATCCACAATTACATTCTATCCACATCACACCACAACTTCTAACAAGAGATAGAAAAATGCGCTGGGCCAGCGCTGTCTTTTCCTTTAAACACACTCTTAGAAGCTGCTGCAGGTGTTAGTCCGACACACACTGGTGGACCCACAATTCCTCTGGAGAGGGTCTGCTTACCATAATGCTCGAGGTGCAATGAGGACGGCAATTATATTCCACCTCCCCGGACTACGAAACTGACACTGGTCAGCTGACTGCCGCATACTGCTCTGCATAGCAAGCCTATGTCACTGCGTCTGTGACCCCAGAGCTGTCTCCAGGGCAGGACATGGGACAGGACCTGCAGGGACTGCTAAGCAAACTCCTTCCTGTACTCTAAATGGGCTGCACAGAACCAGCATTACAACCCAGTGAGCTGGGACTCTCAGCGCTCTGACTTGGAAACTATACACACAGATATATATGAGAATAAAAACTTTTATATGTTATATGTAATTTATATTCTCTATATTTATATATATTTGTTCTCATATATAAACATGTAAGTATGTATCTTCTTGTATATAAACAGCAAAGGAAATAAACACCTTAACTTCTTGCTCTGTGTGTTTTATTACCAGGAAGTCTTATGACCAGGTTTTTGTTCTCTCCTTAACTATTTGCAGCATCCCACTTACATTTTTAAAACAATCATAAGGCCTGGGGGTTACCATAATCGCAAACCCAGAAGCTCAAAGGGATGTCAGAAGCTGCCACTATTCCCTGTCATGTCCTAGCAGGTATTTTAAAGTGTTAATTTAGAACTGTTAATGAGAAATTTTATTCACTTTCCCAGTTGTGATATAACCTATTAGAGAATTTTAATAATGTTATTTTAGTAGTATAACACAGGCATGGGGCATTTAAGAATACTTTGGAGCCTACATCACCTTAAGCAACAAAGACTAAAATGTAGTGCTGGTATTTTAGTAACAACTCTATAGGACCAGGCTGGGCTGGACAAAGTGCTGACAGAGCGACTGAATTCAGCCTTGCTTCTCCTGTGATAATCAGCCTGCCCCCTGCCCCAAGTGCCCAGCAAACATGGAAAACACTCTGCCAACCAGGGAGCACTCTAAAATTCAGGTTACAGCACTCCACACCTGCAGTGCACTCAGCCACACACAGCTTTCAGAGGCCAGGCCAGTCAGACACTGGTGTATCAGGAACTCATTCACCAAGTGGACAGTGGTTACCCCACCCCAGGCAGGCTGGGTGCAGGAGAGCGAGGCCTGCCCTCCTGGAATTCTGGGAACAGGGCCATGGGGAATGGGTGTGGGTCTGGAATTCTCACCCTGCTACCTCATGGGCAGTGAAGGGCTGTGTGCCACTCCTTCCCTAAACCAAGACCACCGCCAGCTCTGTCTCGAGTCACCTGGGTAAGCACATGTGTCACAATCCTTCTGATCCCACCATTTTGGCCACTTACATGCTGGAGTCATTTCTAGACTTTTTCTTTCTTTCATTTTCAATTTTTTTTTTTTTTTTTTTTTACTGAGGATTGAACTCGGGTCCTTGCCCTTGCAGGGCAGGCAGTGGAAGCACTGAGCTAAATCCTCGGCCCTCATTTTCAATTTTGGATTCATCCCTTCAAAAGTGCCTTTGATTTCTGTGACTTGATTTTTTGTTTGTTTGTTTTTGTTACCTGAGATCAAACTCAGGACCTTGCACTTGCCAGGCAGGCGGGCTGCCACCAAGCTAATCCCTGGCCCTGATTTCTGTGACCTGAGTTCAAGGTGAGAGGGTAAAAATGAAAGTTACCTGAATGCAGCCATGGAAGCCCCTCCATCCTGCCCAGACACCCTGGCCCATTCATCTCTGAGCAGCACTGGGTCCCTGCGGCTGTCTTTCAGGCAGGCTAAAGAGTTTCGAGCTGGTGAGACACAGCCTGGGTCCTTTTATTTCTGTAAATTCTTACTTATTCCCTGAAACACCCCTATCATTTCCATCCCATAATGTTCTCAGTGATTCTCTGTCTGCTCCACACTTCCCATCCTCTTCAACTCCTGACCCTAACTATCAGCGGAAAGGGAAGAGACAGTCTGCCTGGCTCTGCTGCATCACCTGTCCTCCCCACATCCAAAGGCTCCTGCTGTGGCCCTCATCACCCCGCAAAGCACCCACTGGCCCGGACATTCCCTCCACGCCACCCTGTGATCCAACCTAGTCTTTCACTCAGTGACACCTACGGTGGAGTCACAGATCTGGGTCTGAGTGAACTATGTGACCCCACACAAACCAGGCACCTGTCACGCCTCAGTTTCCACACGTGGAAGATGGTGCTGGTAACTGTGGAGACATTTCCCAACAGCTGCTTACACCACTTCCTGCTCTGCTGTCTCCACTCTTTTCCCTCCTATTTACCATTGCTTCATCTTTCTGTCCTACTTCCCACAGGATCTGTCCCCCACCCACTCTCCAGGGATCGAACTCAGGACTTTGCACTTGCAAGGCAGGCTCAGCACCACTGAGCTAAATCCCAGGCCCAGGATCTTTTTCAACTATTCTCTCCAACCCTTCAACTGCACTTTCCACATCTATTGCCATGTTTAGAATTTTAAGAGTCATCTTGTCCTTTGCTTCTTCTCCACAGCAACCTCTTTCTGAGAGAGAAATGCTCCCTTCTCTTTCTTACCGCTGGGACAGAAACCTAAGGGTCAGTGTCGAGCAACCAGGCAGCAGAAAGGGACAGGGAGGGAGTTGCCATCAGTTTGTGGACCTTCATTCAGTGCCTAGTTTTCATTATGATCGTCTCATGTTTCCCTGCAAGGACACCTGGTGTCCCAAAGCCCAGAACCCGAGTCTCTAATCTCTCAAGTGACTGGCAGAGGAAAGCCAACCCCCACCCCGGCCCCGAATTATGCCCCTCCACAGGGCCTGGGCTTCCCCACCACATGGCAGCAAGTGGCTGAGGCCCCCGGAACACTGAGTTCAGTGAGGGGCAACCCTACCACCACTGCACCACGGCTGCACAGACCCCACGCTGGACGGCAGACCACCCCGCCGGCCCTACCATGCAGGAGAGGGGCTACATGGCTATCACACCCCTGCACACAGTGTTCTTTTTAGTCTTTTCAAATCTTAAAGAGTGGCCTCAAGCTGAGTTGAAAGATGAGTAGGAGGAAACCTAACTAGGGATGGAAGGAATGGCTACTAGTGATAATAAATACACTGAAGAGGAAAGGATCAATTCCACATTTCAGTGATTAGCTTCTTAAACCCTTGTAAAATCTACAGCTGAACTAATATTAATGTTAACTCCTTAACCCAAGAGCAGCGAGTGAGGGGGCTGAGAATACAGACCAGGGGCTATAACTGGTGTCTTCAGAGGCCAGGAAAGGAACGCCAAGTTTTAAAACCCCAAACCCCAGCCAATCAGCTGCTTCTGCCAAGGCCCTGAACATGGGAGAAACGACAACACCTGGCCTGTCTCCAAGCTCTTACATACACTGCTCTGAGACAATGACACGGAGGAGGAGAGAAGCATCCAGCTGGTAAGCACGTGTGCACAGGAAGGTGAGGGCCAGGGTATGAAGGAGGCGCTCTTTGAAAGAGTGAAAAGCTGTCACCAGAAGCAGGAGACATTGCTTGTTACAGGTAATGAGAAAATAACATGATCAGACTTAGAAAAAGGAAACTCCACTTCCCACGTGTCTGCAGGGGGAGGCAATGCAGACAGCGTGTGATCTGCATGAGCCCAGACGAGCCAATCCACTGGCCTGTGCCTCCACTCTCACCCTTTGGCTTGAACGGGAGGCCTCCCGCTTCCCCTTTCATCCTAGCAGCGTCCATCGGGGCAGGAACCATTCTTTAACTCATGTAGACAGCCGCTGTGTCTTACTTTCACATGGGGACAGCAGTTCCGCTCCAGATACCCGACTCCTCCAGGGGGAACTAAACTCCCTCTTGGGCCTGGAGGTGTGGAAGGCTCTGGTTGAATGTGTGGACCTGCCCTTCACACCTCACTCATCAATTAAAAAGAAGTTCCGTGGTCTTCAAAACAGAACTTAGAACAGTTCTTTTTTTATTTTATAAAAAAAAAATTTTTTTAATTCATGACAAAATAAGAGATTAGCAATACACTTGACATCACTGTCTTCAAAGTAGTTATTCAGAGTACAAGACACAGACAAAGATTCTCTCTTCAAGAAACAAACAGATAATACCACAAAGGTTTCTTTTCAATGAATAGAACAGGTCTTCTTGTTTGGTTTTGAGACAGGGTCTTGCTGTGTAGCCCAGGCTGGCCTTGGACTCACCATGTAGCCCAGGCTGGCCTTGAGCTAGTGGGGATCCTCCTGCCTCAGCATCTCACCATGCCTCACTCTAACATAGATACATTTTTAAAAGAAGCTGGAACACACAGGAGCAGAATGGCATAACATGGCAGATAATGCTACATATTTGTATGTACCTTTGAGTAGTGTTTGGCAAAAGTACAAAAATAAGCACAGAAAGGAGATCAGGTAAGCAGATCAGGTAAGCAGGAACCTCTGCAAGGGGCAGGGAGGATGGTGGTGGGCAGGCCGTCCTGCGAGTCCCCACTCTGTCCTTAGAGGACCGGGAGACCAGCTGTATTCTCCAGCCTGCGCTGCCTGCTGCCCCAGCCTCCTGCCCAGTCTTCCTCCCCAACACCAGAGAGAGCCCTCTGCTCATCAACCTCTGCCTTTTACAACAGCCCCTCCCACTTGGTTCCCTTCTCACACTTTCAACTTTCAACACCTGAAAGATGGGGAAGGAAGTTTCCCGTAGAAACCTCACATCCACCACTTCTACAGCCACTTCTACAGCGAGCAAGAGACCTGGCAAGATGAGCAAAGTGCTAGCATGCCCCCTCTGCTCTGCGAGCTGCCTGCCGTCGGCCCTGCCTCGTGGGGCCTCACCACGCTCTGGTGCGGGTGCCCGGATCTCACCCATATTCGTAGCCACCCCCCAGACGCACTCCTTTGCAGGGCTCCTTCTCTCCACATCATGAGAACCCCATGCTCAAGGGTGCTCAGGACACAGAACTCAGCTTCGCTGAGTCCTGCCTTAACTCTGCCCACGCCCCACCCTGTCAGCTCTGCCCTGTCCAACTGGTGCTCACCATCACCTGCATGCTGGCCACTGCAGCAGTTTCTTGCTTTCTTGGGGTCTGTCCTCTGCGCCCTCAGCCAGTCTTTCTCCACACAGCAACCCCGTGCTGCAGGTAGCACTGAAAGTCTCCCCTCCGATAGCCCACTTCCCAACTCCTCAGAGGAAAGCAGGGTCCTCATAAGGGCCTCAGGGTTCCTTGGGTGCTCCAGCCCCATCTCTGCACCCCCAGTGACAAGGCCAGGCTTCCCGAGGCTGGGCTGGCCAGAGCAGCCTCAGCTCTGTGACCACTGGGTGCTTCTTGAGGGTCTGGCTGGGGAGTGCAGGGAGTGTCACCTCTCACCTCTCACCCTCCCTCAGTTCAAGGGTTCAACAGATGCTGCTTGGCATTGTTTGGATGCTCTTATTACCTCCAGTTAGGTTAAGGTCAGTACGCCAAGAGACAATACATATGATCAAATAAGCCTTGAAGCAAACTGGGCTGAGAAGTTCTGGGTGGCTTACTTCGGATACAAGTCTAGATAGCACACAACTGAATGTACGAAACACAAAGATGCAGAGGTGCATCTGTACTTCTACTAGCAAAGGAATTCTACTCAGTGGAGATGGTGGCATGCAACTGCAATGCCTGCTGCTAGGGAGGCTGAGGCAGGAGCATCAAGGCCAGCCTGGGCAATAAATCGATAACCACAGATGCTTTGATAGGGACAGCCCACATTCAACCGTAATAGTCACAGCAACGAGTGGGTGTAGGAGAATCATCTCCCCCAGCAGGATCACCACTCCTTAAGGTCCCTATACCGAACCTCACACTGCCTGTAGTGCTGTCTTCTGATTTTGCCATTAGCACTTCCATCTACTAGATACAAACTCGGATCTCTTGTGGGTTCTCACTGTGACTACCAGTGTGAAGAGAAGAGCATGCTGCGGGGAGCTCATAGGGCATCTGGCCGGGGTGGGGAAGTACAGCGTAATGCTATGGGTGTTACCAATCCCAATATGTACTCAGGAAATGAGCAACATAATCATAATGGGCAGGCACTCAGGGTGGCAATAAAATAATAAAATAAATAAACTTTGGCATTGTGGTTTCCTGTGTAGGTCCTCTTTGCTCCTCTCTTTCCACACAAACCTTCCTCCCAACCATGACTCAGCAGCTTCTTTGGACTTTGCTCAAAGAACTCCCTGCACTAACCTCTCACTTACTGAGACCATTTGGACTCTGCATTTCTTGCCAAGCTCCTAGTTACTTTACCAGTCCACTCCCTCAGTGTCAGGAGGTCACCTCTGGGTCACTGACAGCCCCACCCTTCTCTGTAGCCCCGCCCACGGTTTAATCCAACCAGGGCCCGACACCTGGCCCATGCAGCACCAATGGGATTCTCTGCGCAGCCAAATGGGTGGGTATGGAGGTCAGTGGTCAGGCTGGGCTGTGGCTGGCAGGCCACCCTTCCCCATGCAGACGCTAAAACGGCCAGAAAGAAAGATAAGGAGTCACCCAGAAGCAGACAGAAGCAAATGAGAGGGGTCATTAGAGAAAGTGACTCCCAGTTCAGGTCCCTCCCGAGGCCACACTTTCAGCCTTTGGTTCCAGTGTGAGAGCCCCAATTCCTGTGTGTCTGGTTTGTTTCTTCTTGAAGGAGGGTAATTACATCCCCACTTGTGCTAATGAGCCATTACCTGACCATGTCACAAAAGCAGTAACTTCCAATTTCCTATCTAACACGGTATGAGGCAGCAGGTTTGGGCAATTCTACATTAAAAAACCAAAGGATGGAGGATAGAAAGACAGCTGAGAGAGGAAAAGGATTTGATGAAAGAGGAAGCTCTTCAAAAAGGGTGTGATGGCACAGAATTCAAGTTCAAGCCCAGCCAGGGCAACTGAGGCCACTTAGCAAGACACTGTCTCAAATTTTAAAAAACTGAAAAACAGTTGGGGATATAATTCAGTGCTAAGGCCCTAGGATGGATCTCCAATACAAACAAGAAAAAATTATTTTTTATTCCATTTAAGAAAAATTCAGGAACTTCTATATGCCAGGAACACACTTCTAGCAGGCACAAGAATATTAAAAAAAAAAGGGCCATGCACAGTTCTTGACCCACTGAGCTGCAGGCTGTGCTAATCCAAGGTTACACGGGGCCATGAGTACACAGTGGGGAAGTCCTGAAGTGGGAACAAAGGTGGGAGACAGCGGACAAGACAGGGTCAGCAGCCTGTGCCACAGGTGGCACCAGGCAGGATAAACTTGTCCAGATCATCACTGAAGCAAAGCTGGGCTCGCAGCCCCCCCACTGGACTCTCTTGGGAAGCTGGCACCTGCAAGTCAGGACCCACGACTTCATCTCACATCATAAATGTACAAATAACACAATCAGAACAAAACAATTTTTTTTAAAAACAATTTTTTAAATTGTTTGATTTCAGATATCACATCTCAGTTATGATTTGGAGATTACTATTTAGCGTAATAAGAATTCACAGTATTATTTTAAATAGGTGATCATATTCTAAAATTATTTTATTTTAGGATACTAAAAACAAAATATTTTATATGAAACATTAAAGAGGAATAAAAATCTTGTAACAATTTCTTAAAGACAAAAAATTATGACTCATAAACAAATATGCTGCTCTTAAAGTGCTAGAAATGTATCCAAAAGAAATACTATAGATGGGGAAAAAAACCACACAAAGAATATTCCAGCTCAAGAGCCAGCTAAATATCTAGTAGAAACTATGTCATGCTGCTGCTAGAATATCATTTGATGAAATAAAATTTAGATACTAGAAAGAATGGACAATGTAAGAACAGTACTAAATATAATACAACATTAAACTGAAAAGGTACCTCCAAAAGATTATGTTTCATGAAACAAAATGTATTAAACATTTCATAAAGGAAAATTATAATGTTCGCGGTCCAGTGGAAAGATAATGGGTAGTTCACTTTCAAGTTTTTCCGGTCAAGCTGTTGTATTTGTAAACTTTTCTAAAACACCCCTTGCTTTCTTCCGCCCATTAGAAATGAAATGGAAACTTACTTCATCAGAAGCAGATCGGAGACACTGGACAGCAGCCTGCTTTTTCATTTCCTCTACAGTCAGATCTGAACACTTCTTCTTACTCTTTCCCCATTTCTTATAAGCTCCCTTCTCCCAGCCCAGGAAGATGTCATTCTCCTGCAACAGACGGCACAGGTGAGACAACAAGGACTCAGTAACACGTTTCAAGAGCTCCTGTTTCCACCAACTTACACATCCATTTCCCCACCCAAAATTCATAAAACAGGACACACTAAGCCTGGTGTGGCGGGGCATGGCTGGAGTCCCAGCACTCAGGGAGGCTGAAAAGTGCAACCCAGCCTAGGCAACTCAGCAAGACTCTGTTTCAGAATAAAAAAAGGCCAGGGATGTAGCTCAATGTGAAGGCTATGGTTTCAATGCCCAGTACTGGAATCAATCAATCGATCAGTAAAAATAAAATAAAGGACACACTAATAAATTAAGAAAACACAGAGGGCCGGGGATTTAGCTCAGTGGTTTCGGCGCCTGCCTTGTAAGCGCAAGGTCCTGAGTTGGATCCCGAGTACCAAAAAAAAGAAAAAGAAAAAGAAAACACAGAACATCCTCAATTATAGTACTTTAAAAGAATCCATTTATTTATTACAGTATCGAAAGTGCTCATGGTTAATTATCATCTTAATAAACCTGATCACTTACATTTATTTTTTTGTGACAGGGTCTCACTATGTAGTTCAGGCTGTCTTTGAACTCACTAGCCCAGGCTGGCCTTGAAATTGTGGTGATCCTCCTGCCTCAGCCTCCCAAGTGCCAGGATTACAGGTGTGGGCCACCATGCCTGGCTTGATCAGGTACATTTAGAGTACATGCTAACTATTAACAACTCAGATGTCTGCATAAATGCACACAGAGTTTAAATTTCAGTATAAACTCTATAAACTATAAACAAAATTAAATATTCTCTCTTCTATAGTTCTTACTCTTCAATGAGTTGTTCAGGTTATTATCAAATTTTAAAGCTTAATAGTTAAATGGTTCAACTCCCATATTTTACAAGATAAACCCAACAGATACAAAATATTTTAATAGGATTTTAAGTTTATTTTCCTCTGGCTTATACATGTCTGTTATAAAAATCTGAAGTTATGGTGATACACATCTGTAATACCAGCACTCTAGGAGGCTGAGGGAGGAGGATCACAGGTTTGAGCCCTGCCCGGGCAACTCAGCAAGACCCCAACTGAAAATTAAAAAGGGCTGGAGACATAGCTCATTGGGAAAGCCCTGGGTTCAACAGCCAGTATCGCATAAACGAACATCTAAAGAAAAGCCAGTGTTGCACACCTGTAATCCCAGCACTTGGGAGGCTGAGGCAGAAGGACTCCAAGTTTCAGGGTAACCTGAGATAAAGAAGAACCTTCTTCAAAAAAAGAAAAATAAAAAAATACAAATCTAAAGAAAATTTCAAAAGCAGGAAAAAAATGAAGGAAAAAAAAAAATCACCTGTAATTCTATCAATTAGTAAAAACTACAATTAGCATACTTCAGTCAATCTTTCTAGTATGCCTTTAAAAAACACTTGTGAATTCATACTATTTGCACAATTTCATGTTTGAGCAATATTGCAAATATTACCCCATGTTACTACAAATTCTTTGGCTATGAAATATGGTGGCCCTCAGGAAACCAATATGAATGAATGAGCGAGCTAGGATAAAGAAGGAAAAGGGCATGATACTAATAATTCTAAAGATCCTTTAAGTCCCAATCACATACCATCAACTTGAACTCTCAGTATTAAAGTCACTTTAATGGTATCAGCTAAGAGTGGGAGAAAGAGCGTTTCTCCTATACTTATGAGAATTAGCATCCTTTTAAAACTTAATTTTGCCAGACTGGTAGTGCACACCCGTAACCCCAGCACTCAGGAGGCTGAGGCAGGAAGATCACCATGTGTTTGAGTCCAGCCTGGACTACACAGTGAGTTCAAGGCCACCCTGAACAACATAGTGACATCCCATCTCAAAAAAAGAAAAAAAAAAAAACTCCAAACAGCAAAACCAAAAAAATTTAATTTCTTAGGTATGCCTTCAGGTCTTATGCACCTAAAAATCATGTTCATTGGCTAAATGGTATTATTGTCATTTTCTACGGGAAAACTGCTCTAAGCCAAGTGAGAACTACCAGTGTTTCCATTTGCTGAACATGTTTATTGGCTGTGCTGTATCTGAGCCCCAACATTTCTCAACAATGACATCTAAGAACTTATCCTGCAGCAAGAACATGGGATAGAACCCTAGCAGTGTCTACTCAAAACTCCTTAATGTCAGAGAAAAATATTATCACTTTCTATTGTTTACAGAATAGAAAAGAACACACACGAGAATTATGTGTAAGTTACTGAAAACAAAACTCATTGTGTCTGTGCGGCTGAGGCTGGCTTTCTCCTCACAAGCACTCATGAACCGCTGCTCTGCTGAAGTGTGTCACGGCTTGGCACAGGTCACACACTCAACAGCCTTCATAAATTTTACGAAAGCAGGAGGGACTCAAACTTCAGATGGAGACGCAATCCTTCTGGAGCAGCGTGACAACACGCATCACCCATCTTAAAACATGCACGTGCACTTGTGATCCAATAACCCTACGTCTGGGACTTGATCACTAAGTGTACACAGATTTAAATGCAGTGGTGTGTTGATCATATTGCTGTCAATAATGGCAAATGCACAGAGATACCCAAAATGGCGAGTAGGAGGACATGATTCACGACATGATGGTTAATGAATGGGACACAACAGCCTGAATGGGGTGGCGCAGCCCGTCAATCCCGCCACTTTCTGAGGCAGCTCTGGAGTCCTCTTGCACAGTGTCTTCAGTTGCATTGCTGGGGCTGACTTGATGGCCTCAACCGACTCAAACTTTTGACTTTCCTTTTGACTTTGAGGAAGAGCCAGAGTCACGCAGCACTAGACGAGGTGGAGGAGGCAGATGAGGATGCACCTTCATGTTTTTACAAGCCTACCTCTCCAGTGGACTCGGCAGCAGCAGTCACCACATTTTTGGTCACCCTCATCCACTCATCTATTCCATCTAAGTGTCCTTCTTGTGGCAGTGAGGGTGTGAGGATGAGCAGGGAAGCAGCAGGAAGCAAACAGCTCCTGTGTGACCTCTGCCATGGGCGACATCCACAGCCAACCAAGGATGGTGGGAGGGTGTGCGCATCCTTTTCTTGGCCTGAGGTAAGCAAAGGCGAATGACAGACTGAAGAGGAGCCTGGGCCAGGGTGATGTGGACACCAGGCAGGAAAAACAAAGTGCTAATGCAAGGATGGCAACCTTTCTATAAGGGCCAGACAGTAAATAATTTAAAACCAAAAGGATAAACCAAGGATGTAATGTGGTACTTAAAAAAAAAGATGAAATAAATTTCTGAAAATTTTTATTGACAAAATTCAAAATATAATCCAGTACAACTCTAAGTACTACAGTTCTGCTAATGAGAAGGATGTAAAGTTCGTGTTCCCTACACACCAATACCAACTTCAAGCTGGGGATGGTGGCACATACCTGTAGTCCCATCTACTCAAGAGGCTGAGGCAGGAGGATGGCTGCAGCCCAGGAGCTTGAGGCCAGGCTGGGCAACACAGTGAGATCCGTCTCAAACAAAACCAAACCGACTGCAAATAACTCAGCTGTCAATGTTTTTCCTCCCAATTTCTTTTAGTTGTGGAAAAATGCACAACATACCATCTTAGCCATTTTTAAGTATACAGTTCAGTGTGAACCATGTTTTAAAAATAAGTTTTATTGACATGTTATTTGTGTACCATAACATTTACCTTTTTATTGAGACAGGGTCTCCCTATGTAGTTCAGGCTGGCCTCGAACTCGCAGCAACCCTCCTGCCTTAGCCTTCCTAGTGCTAGGATTACAGGCATAGGCCATCACGCCCAGTAACATTTACTTGTGTGTGTGCGCACGAGCCCGTGTGTGAGTGTGCACATGCGCTAAGCTTTGTAACAGTGACCACTATGTACTTTTAAAACAGTTCATCACCCTAAAAAGAAACCTGGGAGCCCTGAGCAGTCACTTCCCAATCCTCTCTCCCATGCTATTGGACTTGCACCATGAAGTACTCCAGGATCTAGATGTTTTCCCTCAGCACGGTGTGCTAAAGGTTTGTCCACGTTGAAGCACACATCATCAGCACCTGATTTCCGTTCACATCAGCTATATAGAAGGACTACACTTTGCTCCTCCAGTCATCCACTGACGGACATTTAAGTGGTCTCCTCCTTTTGGATACTACAGTTTTTGTTTTGCTTTGTGGTACTGGGATTGAACACAGGGCCTCACACATGCTAGGCAAGCACTTCACAACTGAGCTACATCCCAAACCCTTTATTTTGATTATATTTTGGGAAAACATTCTTGATAAATTGGCCAGACTGGCCTTGAACTTGTGATCCTCCTGCCTCAGTCTCCTGAGTAGCTAGGAGTACAAAGTGTACCACCATGCTCAGCTCATTCTTTGGGGGAATAATACTGCTATGAATATCCAAGTATAAATTTTTGTATGGGCATATGTTTTCAATTCTTGTGAGTATATATCTAGGAGTAAAATTGCTATATACATAATAGTGAAGGAAATAATACTAAAGAAAATAAATCAGACACAAGGTTAAATGTTGCATAGTTTCTCTAATATGAGAGCCTCAAAATGCAAATAGATTACTTGGGAGGCTGAGGCAGGAGGATCACCACAAGTTCGAGGCCAACCTGGGCTACACCGTGAGCTCAGAGCCAGGCTGAACTACAAGGTAAGACCCTGTCTCAAAAAAAAAAAAAGCTACCAATAGTTTAAAAAGCAAAATAAGAGAGAGATGGTAGGGAACAGGAAGGTAGACTGTGGAGATGGCAAGTGGAACTGAGCAGGGAGAGGAGGCCATGGGAGGGAATGATAAAGATGCAATATGGACATGTACCAGTTCCCCAAGATGAATGTAATCACTATCTATTACAAACATACACTAATAACATTTTTTCAAAAAGATTTTAAGGAAGTAGAATATTTATTCTGTTGCTCAAGGCACTATACCAGACTTTAAGCTATACTTTCTTTGGGGGGGTGGGTACTGGGGATCGAACTCAGGACCT